TTCTGTCAGCGGATGGATTACGTTGTATATATTTACATTTATAAGCCGGGGAAAAAACTGACGTAAAGGTGGAAAATCGACCAAAACTGATACCTGTCAAGATTGGTTGCGTATCTGTGTGTGTATGTGTATTTTTGTTACTGTTATTTTTTTTTGGCATGTAACCTACACAAAATCATCATTTCTTTCCTGACTTTGTTTTAATGATGAATCAGATGTATCAAAAATTTTGTTGGTAATATCTATCAAAGACATTAAGTTTTGTATTCTGCAGTGATCTTTTTTTTTTTTTTTCGTTGAGCTATTAAACCTGTAAACAATATCTGACTAATCTTCTGTTACTGATGACGACAGCAACACAAAATAATGTTTTTGTTGTCGACTGACCGCAATTTAAGTGTGTGTCCTGTTTTTCTTCAACGTTGATATAATCGTTCTGGTCTATGTTCTGGCGGCCAAAAAAAGAGACAAAAGTCATAATATGGGATCGTTGTCGACAAACAAACCTTTAAACTTCTGATAGTGTTTGGGAGGTATGGCATTTTGGTACTTTTTAGGCACAAACTGTCAGCTAAAAAGCACATTTAAACAGCACTCCATTTACTCCCCCGTCTTCCCCCGCTTCACCTCCATCTCTTTTACTTCTTTTTTCTTCTCTAAACATAGCAGTTATTTTCTAAATCATTTGTTGAAAAGATTTAGCTTTTTTTTTTCTTTTGTCACAGTATACTTTTAAAATGGTTCATTGAGACAGACAAAGACCTGTAAAAGTTACTTCTACTTTTTTATAATACGATTTTAATACAACAATTGCGGTGTCACTTAAAACGGGAAGAACAGACACTTCTTTACTCTTTTTTTTTTTGCACCAGCAGCAGTTTATTAGTATTAGTTAAACACCAAATTCTGACTAATTAGCATAACTGTGTTGAACGACGTTGAACAGTATATGAAACTTTTTGGATTTCTGAATTAGTGTGCATTTGTTAAAAGATAAAGACATCACTTCATTGAAATGGTTGAATAGATTTTGCATTTTAAAAAAGGAAAAAACAGTTTCTTCTTTAAGAACAATTATTATCGTCCAAACTGTTACACAGGTTAATTCTTAAACTATTTTTACGACAAGGAACATAAGTGATGTTTGGAATAAATTTATAATAATTTTTCGAAACATACAAACTTCTTGTTTACTGATGATAAAATTGCTGTTTTTCCTTACTGTTTTTTGTAGACTCTTTAATGGACAAGCAATTTTATCATTGTTGTTCCCCTGTCAGTAGTTTAAACACAGGAAAACTATGGTTGACAAAGAATTACAACTCTGTGCTGATAAGCGTTTTCAGTTTATACTGCAGTAATCATTTTACCACCTACTAATTTCTATTGCTTTTAGTTTTTAATACAATTACGGGTTTCTAAGAAACTTTTTTTTTTAGAGGGGGGAGGAGAAGAAAGGAAAGAGGAACTTGTATGGCACTCATTAAATGATTTTATGTCACTTATGGTTACTTGAATTGAATATTCTTGTATTTTTCAGATTCATTGCTCGTATAACTCTAATTGTTCTGTGGTACAAATGGTTCTAACTTCAATACCGTTCTTTATTCCTAATTTTTGACCAAACAGAGGAACACTCCTAAACACCACTACAGCTTTGAGGTACTTCAAAAAAGAAAAAAAAAACCATTTACATTTGTTCAATACTTTTTTTTTTTTGCAGTGTTTATCCAGTCATTCTAAATGTTGCCGTTGTTGTTGATTAGAACTGAGAAGAAAATAACGGTTTTGTAAGCTTCAATAAAACAACAGTAATTTTTTGATGACAACAAATGTTTACCAAAAAAAAAAAAAAAAAAAAAAAAAAAAAAAAAA